TGGCGGGGCAGGTTGCACGGCTGCTCCTCTCTGTCTTGCGGAAGCAAGTGGTCACTGGACGCGACCAGAGGCAGCAGATGCAGCAGCTGAAGCGGGCTCAGGAGTCGTTGGAACAACTGGTCCATGCCATGGAAAACGCATTGGAAGTCCAGGTAGGCTCTCCGTTTTCCTCCCGCCCTGCTTCAGGACCCCAGAGCCCAATGCAAGTCGTGCTCCAGGCCCGCCCGGTAATCAGGTGACGGATAGAACACGACCAGCCCACTGCCCCAGGAGGAGGCCCTGCCAGGGTGCCAGAGGTCAAGCAGGACACCACGTATATGGCATATACGTCCGCTGAGCTCAAGGAGTTAGCTAAGCAGGTTCAACAACAAGTCGGAGAGACCATACCAATTTGGCTGCTGCAACTGTGGGATGATGGAGTGGAGAGCACAGAGCTGCCCCCGATGAGATGGCCCAACTCGCCTCCATCACAGTGATTCCCTCCCTCTGCCAGAGCCTGCAGAATGTCCAACGCTTGGTGGGAAATGACCAGGGTAATCACTCCCTGATCAACTGGCTAATGTCGGCAGCCCGTGTGGTCTGGACAGACCCAGGGGAGCTGCCGGAGGTGGTCAGCAAATGGTCCACGTACACGGAGCTGGGCAAATCGTCAGGGAGATGGGCATGCGCCAGATGATCTTTCGGGAGCGCTATAATAGCCCTGATGAGGCAGTGCTCACCACACGGATGAAGGACCTGATCCTTACATCCAGCCCGGCAGGCTCCTTTGGCCCATTGGCTGCCATTCTGACCCCCTTTGTGGAACGCTGCATTCATGAGGTCACAACGGCTATGGCTGGGCTGGGTGACGTGGAGATCCGGCGGAAGGACAAAGTGAGAGAGTAGTTAGTCCTGTCAAAACCACTCCCAGGGCTTGCCCATGGGGCCAAAGGCGGAGCCCCCGCCCAGTGGCAGCAGGTTCTGTCAAAGTAACCTGGATGCAAATGTGGCTGGTCTGTTGGCAGGCGTGTCACAGACAAAGATCGAACAGCAGCCCAGTGACGTGCTGCTGGCCCTCTGGACCCAGTTGAGCCCAGAACAGAAGTTCACCAAGCTGTCAAAGGTCGCTGCTCGTGAAGTGAGGCTGCAGGATATCTATGACTAGGGATCGGGGCAGAGGGACCCGGTTGGCGGAGGAACCAGGAGACGGGAGGCCTCATGTGGAACTGACCATTCATTGGTCCCTGGCAGTGGGCAGCGTGTGTTGGCCCTGGTGGACACGCGTGCCAACAGCACCGTTCTGGACGGCAATCCCAACTGGTTTGGAGGCCCCCTAGCATACATAGAGGGCTATGGAGGCCGTCATATACGGGTGCAGCAGGCAGCTGTGGTTCTGGGCATTAGACGCCTTGGCCTATGGGCCTACGTGGTGACTTCTCCCCGGTAGCGGAGTACATGCTAGGGGTGGATGTGTTGCAGGGCCTTGCAGTGCAGACCACACCGGGCGAATTCCGCTTACGAATGCGAGTTGTGTGAACAGTGAAGCGAGGGCACCCGCACCACAAGCCCGTCGTCCTGCCAAGTCCTGCCAGGACAGTTCGTGTACGCCCAGTACCGCCTCCCAGGAGGACATGAGGAGATCAGCCTGACGATCCTGAAGCTGGAGGAGGCGGGCATTATACACCCCATTCACAGCTCATTCAATTCCCCTGTGTGGCCGGTCCGCAAGCCGTTGGCACTTGGCACATGGCTGTGGAGTACCGGGAAGTGAACAGGGTGACGCCGCCCCTGCATACTGCCATCCTCTCCGTAATGGACCTCATGGACCTCCTGTCCTTGACGCTGGGGAGGTACCATTACGTCACAGACTTGGCAAACGCCTTTTTCTCCATCGACATTGTACCAGATTCAGGAGCAGTTTGCCTTCACTTGGGAAAGATGATAATGGACATTTGTGGTCCTGCCGCAGGGGTGCCTGCACAGCCCGACAATCCGCCATGGACTGGGGGCCCAGGACTTGGCCACCTGGAAACATGCCCCAGCAGAGCCGTTGTTTCATTATTTTGACGACATAATGCTAACCTCTGATTCTCTTACAAATCTAGAGAACAAGGCAAGGGCCCGCAGAGTGGCACTTAACGGCTGGGGATGGGCTGTCAACAAGGCCAGCGTCCAAGGGACTGGATTGTCCGTCAAATTCTTGGGAGTTATCTGACTGGGTAAGACCAAGGTTATTCTGAAGGCTGTCATTGACAAGATCCAGGCTTATCTGAGCCTAGTAACCATGAAAGAGCTTCAGACCTTTTCGGGCCACTTGGGGTACTGGCTGGTGTTCACACCCCACTTGGTGACCATAACCCACCCCCTTCATGGTCTAAGAAAGCGGGGAGCAGTGTGGGACCATACCTCTGGGATGGAGAAAGCCTTTATGGCTGCCAAACAGGCTTTGGCTCAAGCCCAGACCTTGCAGGTCGCTGACCTCGCCTTCCTATACCTGCTGACTGTGCAGGTGCAGGAGGAGGGCTTTGGTTGGGGCCTGTGGCAGACCCATGGGACCAGGAAGATGCCCTTGGGATTCTGGTCTTGGCTCTGGAAGGGAGCTGAGCAGAGGTACTCGTTAATCGAGAAGCAGTTAGCGGCCATCTATGCAGCCCTAGTGGCCTGTAAGGCCATCACAGGTCCTGCACCTGTGACGGTGTAGTCTACATACCCAGTTGAGTGGTGGCCATGGTCATGGCTTAGGGCCCCCAGGACAGGGGTTGCCCAAACACCCAAATTGACCAAGTGAGGAGTGTATTTGGAGCAACGGGCCACATTTAGCTCCAGTCCACTGTCCCAACAGCTCCATGAGCTGCTGGGCCCGATGACCTTCTCAGCGGACAAGGAAGGGGCACTTCCAGAACACACTGTAGAAGTGGCCAGCCCATACAGGAAAGGAAAACCACCTTTCCTTGGAGGGGCATGGTATACACAGATGGCTCCTGTTGGGGCCAGCCTCCCACATGGACTGCAGTGGGGTTACAGCCAGAGTCAGAGGAATTCTGGCATGACACCGACCCAGGTGAAGCAGCCAATGGGCCGAATTCAGGGCTGTCTGGCTGGTGCTCATGCACGAGTCAGTCGACTGCATGTCTGCACTGACAGCGGGGCAGTGTTCCAGGGTCTCACCCTATGGCTGCCTCATGGGGACACCCAGGGGTAGATGATAAGACGGTGCCTCCTGTGGGGACGTGCCCTTGGGACAACCTTTGGACACGGGGTAAAAGACAGGTGGCTACGATTTACCATGTCCAGGGACATAAGCCGTCCCTCTTTTCTGGAAATGATGCAGCAGACTCACTGGCACAAGTTCACCCTGCTCATCCGTTCTCTCCTTTGGCGATGAAGGATGCACCTAGGGGCCCTTGGCTACACCAGAAGCTAGGGCATGTAGGCCTGCGACCATGTGCCAAGTGGCCTGGCATGCTTCTGACAGTGGCAGACGCCACAGAGGCTGTTCGATCATGTCCCCAGTGCACCAGCCACCCCCCCCACACACACACACACACAGGCAGCGATTACCTACTCAGCCTGGAAAGGTTGAACAGGGGCTATGCCCAGTACAGGTGTGGCAGGTGGATTATGTGGGCCAATTCTCCAAGCTGTGGGTTAGCATTACCTGTTTACGGCAGTTGACACCACCACTGGCTTGGGATTTGTGTGGCCTACTCCCACCGCCTCGCAACAGGACACCACATGTGCCCTGGAGCAGCTGAGCGCCGTGTATGGGCAGCCGCTCGCCATTTTGAGTGACTGAGGGACCCACTTCATGGGACAGCGAGCTCAGCAGTGGGCGAAGGAGCAGGACATAGAGTGGCAGCTGCACGTCCCTATCGCCCGCAGGCTGCAGGTATGATAGAACGTTTCAACAGGCTGCTGAAGGAAAAACTCCAGGCCCTAGGAGGGACAAGTCCGTGGAGGCAAAGGGCATCCCGAGTGCCGCTAGCGTTGCGACTGTTAAATGAGTAGCTGAGAAAGACAGGCCAGTCACCACTAGATAGAGGGGTAGAGGGACTGCCACGTGCCCTCGTGGTACTGCCAAGGTTGAGCCAACCCCAAGACTTGTCCCGGGTACAGCAGGGAGCTTTGTTCCTGCCAACCTGGGAAGCTCTGGCTGAAGGCCAGACACGAACATGGACGTGGCCATGGAAGACTTTTGTCACCTGGATCCCTGGGTTGCCTTGGTGGAACCATGGGGCCCAGCGCTGGTCGTGGACTGCAATTCCAGCTCTGCTCCTGGCCATCCCCCTTGCAGGTCACCTTGCCACAAGACAGACAAGGGACCTTGCTACGAAGTACCTTTGTATTGGCCCTGTGGCCTTTGCCTTTGCTGCAGGTCCAGGAAGTGGACTTGTCTTCCCCTATGGTTTTTGGGGGAAAGGTGTGGCATAACCGTTCAGGAGTCCCGCCACTGGCAGCTACCTCCTTTCCCAGGATGGGAGAGTGGCTTGTGTGCTGCCAGAAGGCAGAGATTTGCCGCTAATGGTCTCTGTCTCCTGACTGTCTTACCGTCCAGCCTAGGCACAGGCAACAGCATCCTGGCCTGGGCCCATGTCTTTGCCCAGGTGCACAACGCCTCCAGTCCTGGGTGTGCACTGAGCTCCCCACATCGGCGGCTGAAGGACTCCCATGGCGAATAACACCAGCTAGAGCCTCAGATTGGTTTGGACTGTGCTCCTGGCGGATGAAAAGAGACTGGACCTCATGTCAGGCAGCAGTGGACACTCTTATATGATGAGGATACCACAATGCCCTGCCCTCGTTGGGCTATGTCTGAGTGGAAATGTTTGAGCACTCCCCTCACGGTATAGAGCAGGTGCCAGCTGTCCCAAAGGGTACTATGGGGTGGACCCCAAAGGACTTACATTCTGTGCTTTGTACTGTTGCTGTGGTCTTTGGATCCAGAGTTCGGTCCCAAAGAAAGGCACGGTCCCAAACCCTGTATGCGTAGAGGGTGGGGCCCAGGTGTGAAGGCCTGTCAGTTAGGAAATGGTTACACACTTTGGAGACTGGCCTGCGCTTCCCTCTTGGGTAGGGCAGAGCAAAGGCAACTACTTGCTCATATACATTTCCTGTTATCCTGTTCTGTTAATTGCTTGTAAGTTTCCTTCCTGCTCATGCGTGATGGCACCGTGCACCTGGTGTTCGTATGAGGGTAACAAACCCTGCTCCATTTTGGAGCTCTCTCTCTCTCTCTCTCTCTCTCTCTCTCTGGCCCCGGCCTCAGATCAATCAAGAGCTGCTGCTGCGTCTACGGCACACAGTCAGCCTCATGCCTTCCTTCAGCTGGGCATCTCACCACCAAGATGGTCCCTGATTGACATCTTCGGACCTGACAAGTGGTTAAGCAAATTGTATCATCACTACCTTGGACTACTACACAGCACAAATAAAGGAACAAATAAATTATATACACAAAGGCACAAATGAATCTCAAGAGAGAACTATGTTGAGTGAAAAAAGCCAATCCCAAAAGATTGCGCGTGGTATGATATTATGTATAAAACATTCTTCAAATGGCAAAAACATGGTGATGGAGTACAGGTTAGTGATTACCAGGGATTAGAAACACTGGCAGAGGAAGAAGTGGGTGTGGTGTAGTGGAAACTCTGACATTTTATTTTCTTTTTAGTAATGCAAGTGCCTGATTTAACCTCTAGTTGCCCAGGCAACATTTTAAAGAAGCATCCACTTCAAAATATGGCTGTCTCCAATGAACACGTCACCAGCCACACCACTGGTTAAAGAGCCAGGCTCCTTTCCCCAATCAGGCTCTTTTGTTTTAGAGACCATTTGGGCTAATGTTGGTTTTCTCTCCTTTGGCTTTAAATTCTACTTCTTATGTTTTAAATTCACCAATAAAGAGTGAGCCCAATAACCCAGGCCCCCAACCTGGACCCCAGTAAAAGCTGAACCCTAGGTCCCTAACTTCCACTCTCTCTTTCTTTCCCCAGGACCTCTGTGTGGCGCAAGTGTGCTGTGTAATTTCAAGGTCTCATAAATAAGAAACCTGTATCTTTTAAAAGTTTCCTTAAGTTATTGCTGAAGGGTGTCTTGCAATCATAAAAACCACTAGAGCTGGCCCAGCCACAACATTCATTATTAATGGGCTATAAAGGGAACTTTGTGGTGATGGGTTAGATCTGTACTGGAGTGTGTTTGCACAGGACTAATCACTGAAATGGTGTAATACGCAGTAAAGGAAAAACAAAAAACAAAAGCAAAAGAGAAGTGGAACCAGACAGGTGATGGTAACTCAGTGACATGAGCAGTAAAGTAACGAATTTCTGTCCCTGAGGGCAAAGTAAAAACAACATAAGCAACAAATCAGCAAGCAACACCTATTTGCATAATGTGTTATTTTAATTCCCTAAGAGTTTTAAAATAATAGGACAGCATGTAGACATTTCTACACTGTGTCACTCATGTGAGGACACCATGGTATAAAGTAGACTCTTGATGGGAATGCCTATCTAAGCTACAATATTGTAGTCTAGAGTCTGTGTGGTGCAAAAAAGAAAAGTTATCCAAGAGTCAAAAATGGAAAGAAGGAAGGAAGAAAGAAATGAAGAAGTTAGGGAGGGAAGGAGGGAAGAAGGGAAATTTGGCTGAATTGAGAAACAAAACATAGTGAATACAAATTGTCCCTGACAATTAAAGGACAACCTCCAGACATTTAGTAGTGCTCTCGAATACTTTAGGGAAAACACCAAATTGCTTGGCATCTCCTCAGGGAGAGTCTCAAAATGCTAAAAAAAAATTCCATAAATTGTTCTCACTAAGCCATGTAAGAAACACAGGAGGGAGTCAAGAGAGAGGCTTCGTTACAGGTAAAAAGGTAGACTATTTGCTGTGGTGTCTTAGGTCGCTAACAGTGACAATGTTTCAGTGACATACACAAAGCTCAACTTGAATTCAGTGACAAAGCCCTAACAAAATGGTGGCATTTCCAGTTCAGTTCTCTTGCTTTCTGCTAATCCGTAATGCCTGGGAAGGAATAGGACTCCTCTCCTTTTTCATCATATTTGTTTCATATAAATAACTGTATCTGTAGTGCCGGCCAAAACCGAAAGCACCACTAAAGAGACATGAATTTTTAAAAATTGGCAAAATTAAGAAGCTGCAGGGATTCAATCCATTGTTTTGATGTCCTTCCGAATTCTTAGTTATCTAGTCCTCCAGGCTGTTTCTGTGACCGTCTCAATATAATTTAATGTTTCATGATCATTTAAATGAATGTACAAATAGGATTCTTTCCCGATCTCTTGATGAAGCAAAACTGGATTTCCACCTCACACTGAGCTGTGAAAGGCATTTGAAGAGCAGAAGATTTTTACGTAGCTTGTTTCATAGTAATGGTACAATGTTCAGCGTGCTTTTCAGTTTCAACTGGAACCTGACAGAAGCAGATATAGTGATCTAAGAGGATAGCTTATTCAAAGAACAACAGTTGGTATTCAGCAAAGATGAAAAAGCAATCTGGTTCTTTCCATAGGACACTAAGGCTTGTGAGAAAAAAAGTTTTACCTTTCCTCACCTTACAGGACAATTTGAACTTATCAAGTGGGATTTTTCTCAATCTTTCATATTTGCAAAATGAAACAAAAGAAACAAAATGTATACTGTTTCTTGTTACATTTACTGAGGATATTTCTCTAAAATTACTACTACTGATGCAATTTTCACACTTCTAATATAAGAAAGGCATGTGCGTTAAGGCAGGATAGGCTATCAGGAGGACACAAAATTATAAACAATATTTTAAGTGATTTAGATGCCAACTTCATGGAATCACTGTTATATTTAATGCTATAAAATTCTATGTTTTTATTTATTTTTCTTTAAGATCACTCAGAGACTTCTGTCACTGTCATCTCCCTTGTTACTGGTATTATTTCTATTTTTTTAAAGAAAGCATTCATGCTCACCATATTTGGGGCTTTGTTGTTTTGGGGTTTTTTTTGGTTTTTTAAACGAAATTTTATAGGGGAACAGTATGTTTTTCCAGGACTCATCAGCTGCAAGTCAAGTAGTTGTTTCAATCTAGTTCTGGAGGGCACAGCTCCTTGGCCAATGTGGGAATTGAACTGGCAACCTTGGAGTTATGAGCCTGCACTCTAACCACCTGAGCTAACCTGCCGCCCCAAGTTTTGAACCTAATGATTTTCTTACCTTAGTCTGTCATCCACCACTTACTCTGGTATATTTTTAATCCATATATTGTTAGGGATACGCAGATACATTTTTTGATTATATAAAATGTTTCTCTGTGTTTTGTATTATATCATAGTTTGAGGGCCATTCCTGTGGCCTTAAAGTGAATTTAAAGTAACATGCAAGAATCCATGTATATCCCATCTTAGTGTATTTGATTTCACCTCTACAGCATCGTGTAATATAGTAACTTTAAATTATTATGTCCAGTTCACTCATGTTCAAAGTTATCTTAAAGGTGCAGCATCTCTTTATCGAAAGATAGTTTTTATGACTCTTCGTTATATGAAAACAATGCTACTACTTCCTCATGGGACTGACAGGAGGGATAAATGAAGATAAAAAATCCAAAGTATTGGTTTTGTGTACAAGAATAAAGAGTTTTGGATAAGTTAAATTTTTGCCTATAGTAACGGTTCGTATATGCCATAAATGGAGATACAACTGAGATTATATCTACATATATATCTGTACATGTATGTGTTTCATATGTTTCTGCATATAAAGACAAGTAATTCTCACTGCAATCTGTTACAGTTTTCTTATTTTTACACATGTCCAATTTCTGTCAAGTGTATTAACTGTTTCAGCCTGTATCACCCGTAGGCATAAAAGATTTTGCAGGACTATGTGTTGAAGTAGAGGGTTCTATACATTTTTGGAATTTGTGGTTTTAAATTTTTATTACAAATGTTACATAATTGTACATACAATTTATTATATAACTGGCATATGCATTGTCATATTATTAAATTTAATTTATAAGTGTCGCTATGTGATTGCATTATATAAATAACTAAAGAAAACTTTAAAGAATAGCGTAATAATAATTTATATTTATAACACCCAAATGTTTAACATAGTTTTAACTTTTTTCATATTTCCTTTATATATCTGTGTGTATATATCTGTATCTAGTTCTATACATTTATATGTATCTACATATATCTATATACTCTATACCTACCTGATATATTCATGTATCTATCTGTCTATCTGTGTATCTATTTATTCACCTACCAATCATCTTTCTATCTATATCTATCTATTCATCATCACCTATTTATCATCTACCAATTATCTATCTTCCTATCTATAGCTGCCTATCTATCCATCTATCTATCAGCTATCATCATCTATCTAATCTATCTATATATACCATCCTTGGCACCATTGCTATTTTGGATTGGAACTAGGTATTGTAGAATGTTTAGAAGCATAACTGACCTCTAACCTACATGCCAGTTGCACCCTACCTCCCAGTTGTTACAACCCAAATGTCTTCTAGACACTGAGCAATCTCCTTGGTTGGTAAAATAGCTCCAGACATGAACCACTGACTATCTCTGGCTCTATCTTTATTTAGGTAGACAATTATTTGTGGGAGGTGGGTTAATTTTCATATATCTGAAATAGAAAAGCTTGGATGTATCTTGTTTATACTAATTTTCCATACTAAAAATCTCCCAGATAATAATACACCAAATCTATTGACTATGCTGATGTCTCTTTCCACAATAGGTTTCCTGATAAACCTGCATGGAAACACAAAATCTAACGGTGTTCAATGAATTCATACTCGTGGGGATCACAGACCGCCCTGAGCTGCAGGCTCCATTATTCGGGCTCTTCCTCGTCATCTATGCTGTCTCAGTGGTGGGCAACTTGGGCATAGTCATCCTCACCACGATGGACTCCAGGCTACAGACACCCATGTACTTCTTTCTCAGACACCTGGCTTTCACCGATCTTGGTTATTCAACAGCTGTGGGACCGAAAATGTTGGTAAATTTGATAACTAATCAAAACAGTATCTCCTTTAATTGCTGTGCTGCACAGATGGCTTTCATCATCTTGTTCATCGGCAGTGAAGTATTCATTCTGTCGGCCATGGCCTATGACCGCTACATGGCCATCTGTAACCCTCTGCTGTACACACTTGTCATGTCACAAAGGTCATGTGAGTTGCTGGTGGCAGTCCCCTATCTCTACAGCACATTTGTGTGTCTTCTAGTCACTGTAAAGATTTTTAATTTACCCTTTTGTGAATGTAATATTATCAGCCATTTCTATTGCGACAGTCTTCTTTTGTTAACTTTGCTGTGCTCGAGCACACATGAAATTGAGTTGTTAATACTGATCTTTTCAGCATCTAATTTGGTTTCATCTCTCCTGGTCCTCCTTGTGTCTTACACACTGATTCTTCTGGCCATCCTCAGGATGAACTCTGCAGAAGGCAGGCGCAAGGCCTTCTCCACCTGTGGATCACACTTGACAGTGGTGGTTGTATTGTATGTGACTCTAACCTTCATGTATGTGCAGCCCAAGTCCAGTCATTCCTTTGACACTGATAAAATGGCCTCTGTGTTTTATACACTGATAATCCCCATGCTGAATCCCATGATCTACAGCTTGAGGAACAAAGAGGTGAAAGGTGCCTTTCATAGGATATGGAAAAACCTGAACAAACTCCTCAGATAAGGTTCAATATGGAATGCACATACAATCAATTAGGTTTTAGAAACTGTTGATCATATATGATAAGGCTTTAGGAAGTAGTAATGTGTAAAAGGCATGGGAAGCTATAAACGTTTTTCTTGTCTTCAACTTATAGATGTACAAGCAGTGATCATCCCGCTGGTATCAACTTTAATTTGTCCTCACATTTTATTGCAAAAGATGGAAGACAGATCACCATTCTCACATTGACGAGTACTTAAGTTACATGAAGGGAAGCCTTTTTTTTTAACATATCTTCTGTTGGAAAAATCTATTTTTAAAGGCATTCTCCTATCTTTTAATAAAATACTTTGTGTCTTCTAGTAAAAATAGAATTGTAAACTATCAATTTTACTAAAAATATTGTAAAATAACTAAGAAAAAATGTAAATAACTAAGAAAAAATTGTAAAATCAGTATGGAAAAATCTAATGAGCACCTTGCATGACTCATTGTTAAAACTGACAAAAACATTACTGAGTTATTAAAGAAGACATAAATGGAGCAATATATCAGGTCCATTGTTTAGAAAATATAAATGTTATGATGAGGTCATGTCTCTTTAAATTTTCCTATAGAATGAACACAATAATAGGCAAATTCTAATAATATTTTTTTATACTCAAGTTGGCATGAAAATGTATGTGGAAATGCAAAGGATTTAGAATGGTCAGGGCAATGTTTTAGAAGAAGAAAGAACTCAGAGGATTTCCAATAACAGATAAAAATACTTTCATTAAAGCCAAATTATTTTTTTAAATTGTGTCATCATTGCATGTTTTGTCAGAGAACCAATAAAATAAGTAAAAATATGGTGCAAAAATAGACTCACATATGTAATTTCAGTTGATTTAAACAGAACCTCCAGTGTAATGTAATGAGGAAAAGAGAACTTCTTGGTAAACTGACCTCGTTCAATAAGGCTTCCGATGAAAAACATGAACCTTAACTTAGTCATTTACATGCATCACACGTAAGAATGAATTGAGATATATTATGAATATAAATGCAGAAGATAAAACCACTAACTTTCCTGAAATAAGTAAAATAATATCTTTAAGACTTGGAATAAATAAAAAATATTTTTAAACGGGGTACAAAAAATAGTAACACTAAAAGATTGAAAAATCGTACTCTATCCAAAATAAAAACTTGTATTTAGAAATATTGACCACAAGAGAGATAAATGAAAATCCTGAGAGAACACATTTCAAATATATATACTTTACAACTACTGATATCAGCAATTTGTGAAAACAAAAGAAAGCAACAACAAATTCCCTAACTCTTAAAATCAGTATTAATAAGACAGCAACCTACTGGGGGAAAGGGAGATGGGGGCAAGACCACTGAAGAAACACTTCACAAATGGGGAAATCACAACAGCTTAAAATTCATAAATGCGTTCAAAATATCATTAAGCATTAGATAAATGCAAGACTCTGCTGTGATATCACTACACACACAGATGGCTAAAATTCAAAAGTTTGTTTGAACAATTCAAAATGTTGATTAAAACATGGAGAAATTGAAACACTTCTACTTGCTTGAGGGAGAGTACATTGATATAAAAACTTTGAAAAACTAAGGGTAGTAATTACTAAATTTTAGTATGTGTATACTCTATAATACAGTAATTATGTTTACTGAGTAATTACAATTACTGAGTAATTAAGTTTACTGGAGGATGAATAGTACTTTTTCGGCAGATGTGGTGATCATAGATGTTAGATTCTTATCAAGGGTAGAACGGTGACTATATTGTGGTGTGTTTATAAAATGTACCCTATACAATAATTCAAGAAGAAAAAGAAGAGGGAGGAGGAGGAAGATGGTGAATATAATATTAAGTGAAAAACACCAGCCTTTCCAAAAATTACACTTGTATATAGAATAAATATAGATGATACTGAGCTGTAAGCATATGGGCACTCTATATTAGCTATACATTTTGTTTAGAATGCGTGATATAATAAAAAATAAAAGCACTGCATCTAAGCAACAATACAAGGTTTATTTCACAGTTGAAAATCAATTATGAAACTTAAATAATCAATATTATAAGTAGTTAAAAGAAAAAGAAAATAGATTTGTGATAACATTCAATGCCAGCAATGTAATAACCCCGCTAGCAGAGCAGCATAGAAGAAAACAATGTCTGAAATGATACCGATAAAAATCGTACACGGGAGGGAGGCTGAATTGGTTGAGCACAGGGGATTTTTAGGGCAGTGAAAACGCTCTGTGATATTATCATGATGTACACATATCATTACATTAAAAATTCTCCATAAAACTTGTACTGTAACTTGAAACATTGAAAATGATCTCTCTGAAATTGGCCCCAAGACTAGGAGACCATCTCACCATTTCTATTCAGTATGTATTAGACATTGTAGCTGGTACACTATGACAGTGTAAGAAATAAATGGTATAAAGAGAAACAGGAAATCACAAACAGCCATTTTTTTATTTTTTGGTAAATGTTATGAATGACTACATTGACAAAAACCTATGGATAATTTATTGGAAATAATAAGGGAATTTAGCAAATTTGCCTGATACAAAATAAATTTAGAATATCAACTTTATTTCACATCCTACCCACAAAATGAAATTTAAAAAAAGATAATATTTATGAAACCATTTTTGAAAAACCCTTGTAGAAATAAATATAGTTTTAAAAATCTAAGACCTCAGTAATGATATGTATAAAAATTTGACAAGCATTTAAAAGCAATACAATAAAAATTTATACCAAATATGTCCATGGAATGGGAGACTTAATATTGTAACAATGTCCAAAATCTTTACATTGATCTATAGTTTCAATATAATACCAACATAAATCTTTTCTTTCTGCCTTCCTCCCTTCCTCTTTTTCTCCCTCTATTCCTCCCTCCCTCTCTCCTATTATCCCTCCCTCCTTCTCTCCTTCCCTCCTTCCCTTCTTTCCTTCCTTCCATAAATCTTTCTTTTTCTTTTTAGAACTTTGGAAGCTGATTGTAAAATTTATTCTGATAGGCAAAGTGCCAAAAATAGTGAAGATAATATTGAGGAAAGAGAAGTAGCAGGAATTACATGACCAGACATCACGGCTATTACAAGGCTGTAGTAATTAAGAACACATTTTCCTGAGGGCAGGCAGGCTGATCAATAGAACAGTGAATCCAGAAACAAACCCACCTACACTGTCACTTAATTTACAATACAGGCATCAGTATTTTCCAAAAGAGAGCGATTAATATTTTCAATAGATGCTTTTACTTAATTTGTATATTTATTTTAATTTAAAAAAATCTGGCCATCATACCCTATACAAACTCAATCATATGTGGATTAAAGATCTAAATGTGAAGTATAAACAATAAACATTTTAGAGAAAAACATACTGGGACATCTTTATGATAGAGGAATATATACAAATTTTTAAACGGCATACAAACAATGATTATACAAGATTCAGAAAATTAACAGAACTATTTTTAAAAATTCTGTTCACCAAAATGAATGCCATGAAACAGAACTCTCACAGTGGAAGAGAATGTTTTTATCAGACCTTCATGATCAGACCTATATAGCTAACAGAGGACTCATGTGCAAACTATAAAAATAACTTACAAGTCAACACATAATTGGCACGAAATACAATACAAAGATGACAAAAGACATGCACGAGCACTTTTCAAAAGAAAATATCAAAACAGCTATTGAACATATGCAAAGATTCTCAATTTCATTTAACATTAGGAAAATGCAAATGAAACCACAATGATACCCACACTCATCATCCAGAATGGCTACAAATAGTGAAAAACACTAAGTCCTGACAAGGATATTGACCAATCATAACTAACAACCACTCTCGAAATCTACTTGGCAGTATTTACTAACGCTGAATATGCATATAATATGACTTAGCGATTTCCATGTAAAGAATATACCCCAATAGAAATACATTCAAGATTAAGCCAGTATTGACTCAAGATTAAGGCTGAGTATTGAGGTGGACACAAGAGGGTGTAGCAGTTTTTACCGTTATCTGAAAAATTTATATATCTATATCTATATATCTATGCATCTGTCTATACATATATGCATTTTTTAAGTAAACTATAAGTGATTATCCTTAATAAATACATAACAAAATCCGATCTTTATTATTTTATAAAAACCCAGAGATATAAAATGTTTATGTTCAAAACTAGAATGGAATAGAATGTTAACAATATCACTAATCATAAAAATTCCAATGAACCAATGCTAATATTCAACAATAGAATGATGGATAGCTAATTTGTGATATATTTATAAAATGGAATTGTACACAAAAATGACAATGAGCAATCTAAAAAATCTCTATAACAATGTATTAGGTGAAAGAGCCCAGACACAGAAAAATAACTAGTGTAGGATTTCTTTTACATAAAGTAACAAAAATAAGGGAAAATAAATTATGCTGGTTAAAGTCAGAGCAATGGTTGGGTGTGTGTGTAAGGAGATAGTTCATGGTAGAAAAAAACAAAGGACTCTTCTGGAGTCTTGATAATCTTTTATTTATTTTAATGGTTGTTATTTCTGTTTAATCTGGATTCTGACTACACCGAAGTGCTACTTTTATACAAATTTACTTATGATATATGAGTTTGTTAATATGTATATTATACTTCAATAGTAAGTTTAAAATACCACGCATAAGAAGTAGAGATACATATATTTTTTTCCCTTGTGAATTTTTAAACAATGCAAAAGCATTGTTCAGACTTTTTTTTTTTTTTAGAGATTTTTATTGCGTAATTGGGGGGGATGGGAACAGTGCTGGGGAATTGGGGGAAGGGGAACAGACAAGTTGCTGTCATCTTGTTCATCAGTCTAGTTGTGGAGGACGCCGCCCCACCGGCCCAAGCTGGCACCATCATTGCGCTCCTCCCGGGCGAGGCAGACCAGTCGACGGCTTCTGGACAGCTGCTCACGCTGGCTGC